AATGCTACATTCTTATATAATCTTTGACATTATTGTTTGTCCAAAGGGGCTAAAATGTAGGTGGGGCAGTTACTGGCTTGTCTTTAATGAGGCTCTTAGGGAATCTGGTTGCAGTGGCTATGAAGGATCCAGTAAATTCCTCCTTTGTCATTCCCCAAACATTTCCAGCACAAAGAGCTAAAGCCATGAGCACCGCATTCTCACTTGCTCAAGACCTGACATTAAAATCCCCACCATTAAAGAGCAGCATTCCCCAGTTATCTAGAGGTGAAGATCACATGATATCTAGAGGACCAGCCTCCCCCAAGTCAGCAGAGGAGACATTGTTGTTGTTGTTGTTAAGTGCCATCGAGTCGGGTCCGACCCATAGCGACCTGTACAGGGTTTCCGAGGGTGTAAATCTTTACGGGAGTAGAAAGCCTCATCTTTCTCCCGCGGAGCGGCTGGTAGTTTCGAACCGATGACCTTAAGGTTCGCAGCCCGATTCGTAACCACTACGCTACCAGAGCTCCTTAATTTTTGCTTATTTAGACATAAAGATATTACAAATCCCTGCGCAATAGTAGGTGTTCTGTATCCATCAGCTAGAACTTGTGATAAATTGAGAAGTCAGACATTTATCTTGTCTCTGTAGGCACAGCTAAGAAATTGGGGGTGGAAAGTAGAAAATGTAAGCAGAGAAATAGTCAAGAGTTGGGCTGTGTTTAAACCTGTGCCAGTGATTCCAGTAGGAATCATGTCAGGATTGAGTGTTGGAAATCGAATGTATTGTTAAAAATGGGATGATTCTGTGTTAGTAACACTAATTAAAAAGTTAAGTGCCGTCAAGTAGGTTCTGACTGACTCATAACGACCCTGTATAGATTTCTGAAGCTGTAAACCTTTATAGGAGCAGAAAGCTTTATTTTTCTTTTATGGATCAACTGGTAGATTCGAACTGATGGGCTTGTGTTAGTAAACCACTATGCTAACACTAGTAATGTGCAAATGTAACTCAACCTGGAGCTTGATTTTTCATGTTTTATCCATTTGTGTCTAAGACTCTGAATTTGCTATTGTGCATTAACTTTGTTCCATGCCCATGAGTGGGGCAAACCAGTCGAGTGTCTCTGAGTTCCTCCTTCTGGGTCTCTCCAGGTAGCCTCAGCAGTGGCAGCTCCTCTTCAGGCTCTTCCTGAGCATGTACCTGGTCACAGTCCTGGGAAACCTGCTCGTCATCCTGGCCATCAGCACGGACTCCCGCCTACAAACCCCATGTACTTCTTCCTCAGCAACTTGTCCTTTGTGGATATCTGCTTCTCCTCCACCACTGTCCCCAAGATGCTTTCCAATCACATATTCAGGATCCAGACCATTTCCTTCTCTGGGTGTCTCACATAGCTGGGTTTTTTTTCCAGTGTGTTCGCTGACATGGACCATCTCCTCCTGGCTACGATGGCCTACGATCACTTTGTTGCTGCTGGCCACCACTTACACTACACAACAAAGATGACCCATCAGCTCTGTGCCCTAATGGCTGCTGGGTCGTGGGTCACTGCCTTCCGGATGCTCTGTTGCATACCCTGCTGATGGCAGGACTCTCATTCTGCACAAACAACAGAATTCCCCACTTCTTTTGTTCTGTGACTCCTCTTCTGAAGCTCTCCTGCTCTGACAGACACCTCGATGAGATTATGATACTTATTGAGGGGGGCCTGGTAACAATGATCCCATTGGTTTGCATCCTGGCTTCATATATCTTATTGCTTGTGCTGTCCTGAGAGTCCCATCCACACAGGGAAAATGGAAAGCCTTCTCTACTTGTGGCTCCCACCTGGCTGTGGTTTCCCTCTTGCTGTATATTTCAACCCTTCATCCTCCCACTCAGCTGAGGAAGACACTGCAGCTAGGGTGTTGTACACGGTAGTGACCCCCATGCTGAACCCTTTCATCAAGAAAAATGATTGTCTGGAAGATTGGTTCTACCTGATGAAAAAAATCATGGACTACCAGTCTATCAGCAAATATAGAAATCTTTGCCAAGTCACTATAATGTAACAATCCATTTATCAACGTCTGGAAGGAACTTAGACTAAATATTTACAATAGATGGCTATCAATGGACTTTGATTTAATGCCAACCAGGTATAGATTTACTTGTCTTTAATTACCATAGTAAATTTTACATAAAGTTTAAGCTTTTTCTTTCTAAGTGATCACTTGGAAAAGCTAGCCAATATTTCCTCACTTCCCTTTTGGAAATATTCTCAGCAATGTCAACCCAAATGTTTTGCAGTGAAGTCAATCCCGCCTCACAGAGACCCTAGAGGTCAAAGACAATGGCCCCAAAGGGTGTGCAAGGCTGAAATCTGAAGCAGATTGCCACAGCTTTCTTTCATGGCTCAACTGGTGGGCTCCAGCTGCCAATCTTTGGGTTTTCGGCCAAGTGCTTAATAGCAATGCCATCAGGGCTCCTGGATTGAATTGGGTTCCCATAGTCCCTGGGGGAAAATGAGGCTTTCTGCTCCTGTAAAAATGTACAGTCTCAGAAACCCTATACAGGATCGCTATAGGTTGGAACCGACTCAAGGGCACATAACCACCACCACTCCTATACCTGTGGATATAACCCTATTTGGGAACATGACTTTGTTATGCTCATGAGACAATTATCAGCATGTTGTTTAGTGCCATGGAGTTGATTTTGACTCATAGTGACCCTGTATAGGGTTTCTGAGGAGCAAACGGTGAGTTTAAACTGCCGACCTTGCATAGGGTATTTTAAGACAATTATCTTTGGAAATATAAAAAGAGCAGTTTAGGCACAGAGACACCACAAGACCAACTGCAGTTGTGCTCAATCACATAGCCAGATGTTATTGTTGTTAAGTGCCACTGAGTCACTTTCCTAGGAAAGGCTGGTGAGCTTGAACTACTGAGCTTGTGGTTCAAATGGACTTTGCAGTCCAGCACATTAACCTGCAGCACCATACCAGGACTCCAAGTGAGATCAGATAGCATTGCATTTGTTATTTTGCGACTTAATTTTTGTTTTAAATTTTTAAAATGGTTACTGAAAATATACACAGGAAACCAATTCAGCCATCTCTGTATGTGCATTTCAGTGAAATCGCCTCCATTCTTCACCCTGGGCAGCCATTCTCACCCTTTTCCAAATTACATTCCATCACTCATACACTCTCTGGGTCCATCAGACAATTCATATTATGAAATCTTCTCCGACTAAACTTTAACAGGGTTAGTGTTCATTATTTGCAACAAAGCAGTCAAAGTTTTTAAATAATCTGAAATATAGTCAGTCATCAGAAAATAACTAAAACCCAGAAATAGAAATCAGGAGGAGTTTCTCTAAATAATATCTTCGCTCTGTGTATTTCCTGCTTCAGCTACTGTCTCCTCCTCAGTATGTGGGTAGCCAATGGGGAAGGCAGAAGAGCTCTGGGTATACACAGTCCAGTCAAATCACAGAATGATATACACAAACTGTTCCCCAATCCCAATTCAAAATACGCTGGCCAACTCTGCTCTGGCAAAAGGCAAGAGGATGTAAGAAAAACATGAATGCTGGGGTTCCCGCACTGTGACTACATGGAGGAGAAGGTTCCACTCTGAGAGTAGGATAAACCATGTGGGTATGAAAGGGAACCCCCAAAAGTCTTAGAACTCATAATTCACAACATGTAGGGTTCTCCTTGGGATCACCCCCTCTTCAGATTAATCTTTATTCTAAATAGTTTCCTGGGCTAAATTCAGCTTTGTAATGTATTCTAAACATTCCATCTATAAAATGGAGAACACAGATATGATTAATCACCTCTAATGATGACCACACATTAGAACACTGGGTTACACTGAAAACACAGGAATAGTCCCTATTCTGAACATCAAAAATGAGATGAAAAGAGGTTTACTAAAGAATTTTCACATCTATAGATACATGGTAGCATAGTGGTTATGAATCGAGCTGTGAACCGCAAGGTCAGCAGTTCGAAACTACCAGCTGCTCCACAGGAGAAAGAGGAGGCTTTCTGCTCCCGTAAAGATTTACAGCCTCGGAAACCCTGTTCAGGGTCGCTATGTCAGAACCAACTCAACAGCACTTAACAACAACAATAGACAAAGGATTAGAAGAACAAGATGCTGTGGCTTGAGATCCTAGGGAGTACGGTCTGATACTTGTCTCCACCAACATGGCTTCATGTCTAATCTCCTCAAGTTTTGATTTTGAAGTTACAGCCAAACCTTAGGTTTGTCATCATTATTTGGTCCAAAGGGGCCAAAATGTAGGTGGGACAATAACTCTCTTTCAGATTTTAATGAGGCTCTCAGGGAATCTGGTCCCAGTAGCCATGTGGTCTCCTGTAAATTCCTGCTTTGTTAATTCCCCAAACATCCTTCCCTCACAGAGAACTAAAACCAGAATGCTTGCTTCTCACTTGCTCTGTGTCTGTTTGTAGTCTCAAAACTCTCCAATCCCTGCACCGAGGAGAAGCATTGGCTGTTATGTAAAGGGGAAAAAACACAGGACAGCTACAGAATCAATCCTCCCCAAGTAAGGTCACAGCAGAACAAAACTAGACTGTTGTTTATTGAGACAGGAAGTCTTTCTAGATTCTTGAGCAACTCTGCATACAAGTGTTAGAATTTCTCACAAACCCAGTAGTAATCAGCCACTTCTCTTCTTTCTGTAGGCAGAGCTAAGAACTTGGGGGTAAAGTTTACATAGGAAATGTAAGCAGAGACATCAACACAGTTGGGCTGTGGATATGCCTGTGTAGGTTCGCGTGTTAAAAATACAAAATAAGTACCAGTGCTTGCAGAAGGAAAGCCCCAGGATTGAGTGTTAGACATTGGGTGCACAATTGAGATGGGCTGACTCTATCTTACTAACAGTAGTAACTGATTTGAAAATGTGGCTCAACCAGGAGCTTGACTTGTCACATTTTATCTGTGTCTAGGATTCTGTATTTGCTATTGTGCACTAACCTGGTTCCATGCGCATGAGTGGGGCAAACCAGTCAAGTGTCTCTGAGTTCCTCCTCCTGGGACTCTCCAGGCAGCCCCAGCAGCAGCAGCTCCTCTTCGGGCTCTTCCTGAGCATGTACCTGGTCACAGTCCTGGGAAACCTGCTCATCATCCTGGCCATCAGCACTGACTCTCGCCTGCACACCCCCATGTACTTCTTCCTCAGCAACCTGTCCTTCGTGGACATTTGCTTCTCCTCCACCACTGTCCCCAAGATGCTGGCCAACCACATACTCAGGAGTCAGACCATCTCGTTCTCTGGGTGTCTCACCCAGATGTACTTTCTCTTTGAGTTTACGGACATGGACAATTTCCTCCTGGCTGTGATGTCCTATGACCGCTTTGTTGCCGTATGCCACCCCTTACACTACACAACAAAGATGACCCATCAGCTCTGTGCCATGATGGTGGCAGGGTCATGGGTCATTGCTAATCTAAATGCTCTGTTGCATACCCTGCTGATGGCTCGACTTTCATTCTGTGCAGACAACAGAATCCCCCATTTCTTCTGTGATGTGGCTCCTCTCCTGAAGCTCTCCTGCTCTGACACACACCTCAATGAGATGATGATCCTTACTGAAGGAGGCCTGATAATGATCACCCCATTTATTTGCATCCTGGGTTCATATATTCATATCACCTGTGCTGTCCTGCGAATCCCCTCAACAAAGGGGAAATGGAAAGCCTTCTCCACCTGTGGCTCCCACCTGGCTGTGGTTTCCCTCTTCTATGGCACCATCATTGCTGTATATTTCAACCCATCATCCTCCCACTCAGCTGAGACAGACACTGCAGCTACTGTGTTGTACACTGTGGTGACCCCCATGCTGAACCCTTTCATCTACAGCCTCAGAAACAAGGATATGAAAGGGGCTCTAAGAAAAGTGATTGGCAGGAGGACATGTTCTACCTGACAAAAGAATTATGGCCTATCAACCTAACAGTGGGTATAAGAATCGTTGCCAACTTACTATAATGTAACAATCCAATTATCAAGGTCTGGAAGGATCTTAGAGTAAATATTTACAAAGCATATCTATCAGTGAATTCTGACTTCACTATACCCAGGTATAGATTTATTTGCTTATAATTCCTGTATTATAAAACTTTACAAATGATAAGCTTTGCCTTTCTAAGTGATCACTTTGATAAGTTCTAGTTAGCCAATTTTTCTCACATCCCTTTTGAACATATTCTCAGAATGTGAACCCAAGCATGTTGCTGTAGAATTGCTGTTGAGGCCTTTCTGATTCCTAGTGATCTTGTATCGGTGTCCCAGGAGCGGCTGATGAATTTAAACTACCAACCTTGCAGTTCAAACCAAGGTTATGTTCCAATGCTTATCCTACAGAGTCTCACCAGGTTCCTAAACTGCTACACCTGTGGATACCTATGGCTATAATCCGCTTTGGGTAAAGGAATTTGTTATGTTCATGAGACAATTATCAGCATGTAGATTTTAAGTGCCTTTTAGGGGCTTGAACCTCAAGGTCAAAAGGTTGCAGTTTAAACTCAGGAGCTGAACCTAAGAAACCCTATACAGGGTCATTCTAAGTGGGTGGATTCTGAGACAGTGGATTCTGACTCATAGTAACCTTGCATAACGTTTCTGAGGACTGCTTAGCGGGTTTGGAAGTTGCCCTTGTGGCTGACCATCCAGCGGCCATCATATAGAGCCACACCAGGATCCACTATCTGCATGTTCTTGTTGTAAGTGCCCTTGAGTGGCTTCTGGTTCATAGAGACGCCGTATAGGGTTTCTAAGGAACAGTTGGTGAATTTAACCTTGGACCTTTCAGTTCAAACTGACCTCCTCCTCGCTGTCCAGTGCACTATCCCACAGCACCACACCAGGACTCCATTACCAACACGTTGTTGTTGTTGTTAGGTGCAGTCAAGCAGATATCGACTCATAGAGACCCTGTATATGGTTTCCAAAGTGTGGCTCATGAGCTTAAACCACTGATCTTGTGGTTCAAACTGACCGTGTGGGTTAGTGCTTTATCCCACAGGGCCAACCAGGACTCCATGATGAGCATCAGGTGTGTTTCAAGCCCATTACCTCTGAGATATAAATAGAGCAAATTATGCACAGCGAAATCCACAAAACCAACTACCACTCAGTTGATTTTGATTCTCAGAAAACCTACATTGTTCTTAACTGCTGTGGAGTCAGTTCCGAGTCATAACAAGTCTGTATAAGGCTTCCAAGGAATGGCTGGTGACTTTGAATTGGCAACCTTGGGGTTCAAATAAAAATAAAATCGATAGGATAGTCTTCCCTTCTGGCTTTCTGAGGCTGTAAATCCAGGTGCACACAGCCTCATCTTTCTCCCATGGAGTGGTGGGTGGGTTCAAACTGTTGACCTTGTGTTTAGCAGCCTACATGCAACCCACTGTGCCGCCAAGGCTTCTGAGGCATAGCTGTTGCTGTTGTTGAGCCATTGCATCATTTCCCCACAAGGACCCCAGGAAAAGGGGCTGGAGAGAGAAGAACCTTTCCCCAGTCAACAGAATGAGGAAGCCTTCCCCTAAAGCAGGTGCCCTGAATTCTGACTTCTGGCCTTCTTAACTGGAATCAAGTCAATGTGTCAGTTACCCATTTGTGATTTTCTGTTACAGCAGCACTAGATAGCCAAGACTTGGATTGTGTATCTAGTCCTTGTAAATATTTTATAGCATGCCTTCCAATTGTTCAATGATAAATCACTACCCATGTTTCTTTGTGGTTTTGTCTTATCTGCCCAGTCTCTAAGTCAGTGGCTGGGGCATGAGACTTGGGAAATGGGTTCTGTTCTCTGTGTCTGCTTTTTTCTTTCTTTTTCTCTCTTTTTTTTTTTTTTTTTGGTTTTAAATAAAGGGTCTCCTGCAGTATCTGTTTCTGATAAGTAATACAAAATGAAAGTTCAGAAGCTCTCCTGGAAAGTAGAGTGATGCCTCCAACTTACATTCATTACTATAAAGAAGTTTCTGATTTAAAAACTCAGTATTATTTATCTTTATTATAGAATTATTTTTAGAAAATGCAGGCAATTATCAAGAATGAAGTCTAAGGTTCTAATAAGGTGATCATTCAGTGAACTCTTCTTGAATAGCTTTTGCATTTCTTTCCAATCTTTTACCTTTGCATATATGATCAGTTTACCTACATTTATACCTTTATACATTTATATTTTAATCTATGTGAAATGCTATCTTCTACTGTTTGAGGGTTCAACACTCACTGTGTAAGGATTTAAGGAGTCCCAGGGATACCATCGTCAAGGGCGTGGCCAATAACTGAAAGCTTGGTGGTTTTAACACACCTGCTGCTCCTTGGGAGACAAGACCAGGCAATCTGTTCCCATAAAGGTCATGGCCTTGGAGTGAAATGATAATGAGACTAAAACAGACCAAAAATGATGGGCTGACAAGTTCACCTTACCAGAGCAGATTAACACTGGGCCTGACAACGGGAAAGATGTGATTCTTTCTTGTTCCTTACGCTCCCCTGGTGAGCAGAGGAGTGTCCACCCCCTACCCTCATGTATCCCAGCTCAGCCCTATGCAGTCGGGGAGATCACAGCCGCAAAGCTGTGGGCTGAGTCAGGGTGAGGTGAGCACCAAAGGTGCTGTCTTGGTGCCTGGATTTGAGTGGGTTCTGCTCCCGATGTGGTGGTGATGGCTGTGTACCATGGAGTCATTTCTGACTCATAGATACCCTGTATAGGGTTTCTGAGGCTGTATCTCTACAGAAGCAGAGAGCCTGCTCCCACAGAACATCTGGTAGTTTTAAACTGCTGACCTTGAGGTTCGTTAGCAGCCTGACTGGTAACTACTCCACTACCAGAGCGCTCTGCTCCAGATATACAGACCCGGAAGTCCACTTGATCGGTCTTACACTTAACCAGAACCGATGGATGACCTTTTGGTCTAAATGGACAACACCTGAGGCTATTCATGTTGTTGTTACATGCCTTTGAATCAGTATTGACTCATTGAGACAGTATACCAGAACGAAACACTGCCTGGTCCTGCGCCAACCTCACAATCATTGCTACACTTCAGCCCATTGCTGCTCCCGCTGTGCCAATCCATCTTGTTGGAGGTCTTCCTCTTTTCCTCCGACCTTCCACTTTACAAAGCATGCTGTCCTTCTCCAGAGACTTTTCCTTTCTGACAACATGTCCGAAGTATAAGAGACGGAGTCTGGCCATCCTGGCTGTACTCCTTCCAGCAAAGATTTGTTTGTTCCTTTGGTGGTCCCTGGTACTCTTGATATTTCTCTGCCAACACCACAACTCAAACACATCAATTCTTCTGTGGTCTTCTTTATTCACTGTCCAACTTTCACATGCATATGAGGTTACTGAAAATAGCATGACTTGGGTCAGGCACACCTTAGTCCTCAATCTGACATCTTTACTCTTGAACACTTTAAAGAGGTCTTTGCACAGCAGATTTTCTGAGTGCTGACACCATGACACTTAACAATGACAATAACAAAGCAAAAAGAGGGAATAATGTAGATAAAGGATTTCCAAAAAACTATGAAATCAAGGTAAATTTCAACATGAAACAGACTATTTTAAACTGGGATGAAATTAATAAATTACAGGGTAACCTCAAGGAAAACAAATACATCTTCACATGTATTTATAACAAAGTAGGAAATAACAAAGAGGAAAATCAGTAAGATTTAATAATCATTAACACAACAGAAATGAAGAAAATGAAAAGAAAACCCAAAACCAGAATGAACTCAGTGCTGGAAATTATGTGGAACAAAGAAACTAGCAACACCACACAAAAAACATACAATAAAATGACAGCAACCAATTCATACCTATCTAAAAATACACTGAAAATCAATGGATTAAATGTACCAATAAAAAGACACAGTGTAGCAGAATGAATAAGAAAACAAGATCCTGCAATCTGTTGTCAACAAGAAACATATACACAAAGACAAAAATAGGCTAAAAAAATCTAAGAATGGAAAAAATGTATCAAACTTATGACAATAACAAATGAGCAAGAGTAGCAATTGCCATCTCTGATAAAAACCAGCAAAAGACACAAAGAAGAACAATATCTCATGAATAAGTGGTCAGTTGAACAAGAGGCCATACCATGATAAATATCTATGCTCCCAATGAAACAGCTTCAAAATAAATTAAGTTCTAATAGAAATGAAGAAAGAAACAGAGACAAGTCTACAATGATAGTTGTTGTTGTTCAGAATCGTGGAGTCGGTTCTGACCCATAGTGACCCTGCTGCATAGGTTTTCAAGGAGTGGCTGGTGAGCTTGAACAGCTAATCTTATGGTTCAAACCAACTTTGCATCCAGAGCACAAATCCATAGTGACACACCAGGACTTGACTTTAGATGAAGGAAAGAACAAGAAAGACACTCAACAAAAACATAGAAGAAATAAACAACACAATCAACCAACTTGACCTCATAGACATATACAGATCATTCTACCCAACAACAGCACAACACACATTTTTTTCCAGTGCATATGGAATGTTCTCCAGGAAAGATCATATGTTAGGCTACAAAGCAAGCCTCAGTTAATTTAAAAACATCAAAATACAGAGCTTCTTCTCAGATCACAGTGCTATAAAATTGCTGTTGCTGTTAGCTGTCATCAAGTTGATGACCTTATGCACAACAGAATTAAATTTTGAAAATCTAGAAAAAATTCACAAATTTATGGAAACACTTGACCAGCCTAAACTAACACAGTCTGAAGTAGAAAATATGAACAAACTTACAACAAAGTAATTCATCAAGTCCCAACAAAATCTGTGCCCAGATGGTTTTACTGACAAATAATACCAAACATTCCGAAAAGAGCTGACACCAATTCTACTCAAATGATTCCAGAATATAGAAAAAGATGGACAGCTTCTGAATTTATTTTATGA